CGAACTTTTTTACGTCTACAAACAGAGGGCGAGGGCCCTAATACTCTGGTGCATTGGATCCCTTCTTCCCCCAACCAGAGGGCCAGTGGAGTCAACCTGTACTGGTTACAGATGTTGACCGACATCGATGAGATCAAGGGGTACAGCTGGGGTTCGGCGGTCCTGGCCGGAGTGTATAGATCGTTGTGCACAAGCTACAACGCCGGGGAGGAATGGATCAAGGGTTGCGTCCAATTGATTCAGGTACATTTATTTACTTGTTATTTGAATTTTTTTTTTTATTCTATAAATATCTAATAACAAATTCATATGTCGATATGTGTAGGTTTGGACAAGGGAACGTATCCCTCGTATTCGCCCAATAATGAAGCCCACGCACTTTGGTTCTGTCGTTGGTTGTTCTTTAGGTGCAAGGTAATCACATTTATTTATATTTAATACTTATATTATTTCTATTATCAAATTTTATGATTACAAAGTGTTTTTTTTTCTGTGATTTTTAAGGTGGGTGGGACGGAAGGACACGAAACACATAGCAAAGGGAACAACCGTTATTCGGGATCAATTGATAGGGCTGAGAGAGACTGATGTAAGATTATTATTAAGTCCAATTGATTATTTATGTTTGTTTTTAATTTTCTTATAACTTAATTCCTAATTAATTTTTTTTAGTTGTTTTTTTTTTACAGTTCGATTGGGTGTGGTATGGCCAGTACTTAGATACTCTCCCAGCCCAGTGTACAGAAGGTTCGCGTCTCTGGGTGTATATGGGGTGGATGTTCTGCTGGAACATCCGTGAATCCCACCTGTCTGATAGGGTCCTCCGCCAGTTTGGGTGTCGTCAGTCCATCCTCGACACTCTGATGATTACGGGTGAGGCCAACTGGGACAGACACCACAGAGGCCAGGGTATGACTAGGAGGGCATTCAATGATTGGACCGCCTTCCATTCAGAGCTTGGGAATGCTTGGGCTGAAGAAAGAGCACAAAATGTCCTCCCACATTTCCCTGTGGAGGACTTCCTACAACCTGAGGCGGGTTACATTGATTGGTTTCACAGTAGAACTGTGAGACTCATCAGTGACCATGCCAATTGCACGGTGGTCCAACAGGACGGCGGCTATCAGCTACTTGCTGAGCAGGGGAAGTGCGATGTAAGTGTTCATAATTTATGGCTTTTTTGTTATTATTATTTTATTTTATTTTGTGTGTTTAATATTAATTATTTTGAACTTAATTTTCAGGCTCCGTCATGGAGGGGGCTTTTAACTTGTTAGCAAGTCTTGAAAGCATATTTGATACGCTCCCTCCAAAGGCGCAGGTCAAAATTCGACATTCCCTGAACCTTCTCGATAGTGGACTGACTGTCGGAGGCCAAGGGGTCATGCAAGGGACGTCGTCGAGTCAAGTTGTATTTCAGGAGAGCTACGTCCGACCCCAAAGGACGCAGTCACATCGGGCGAGGCATCAACCCGCTACCCACATTGGTGGAGGTAGAAGACGCCGTGCCCGCAAACCTGCTACCTGCACCGGTCATCGGGCCTGAGGAAGAGGAAGAAGAAGAAGAAGGTGAGAATTTTTTATTAACTTCAATATGATTTTTTAATTATTTATATATTTATTTTTGATTTTTTAAATGAATTACTTAGATGAAGAAGAAGAAGAAGAAGTTGTCACGCCTATAGTCTCGTCTTCTTCACGACCAATGCCTCGGAAGGGGTCCTGACAGCGCAAACCTAAGAATCCATTCACTCCTAGTTAGTTTGTGTTGTATTCGGGGAAATTTGTGGACATTTTTGTTTTTTTCTCGAAATTTGTGTACTGATGTTTGGACATATTTTTATTTTGAATAAATTATTGTGCTTGACTTTTGTATGTATGTTAGATTATTAATTGGCAAATGGATTAGATATTAGTTTGTAGAATTATTATTTGGTTGTGGAACCGATCCCGACAAACATGTGTATTTTTTTATTTTTTTTGCATAGTTATTGTTTCTGCACAGTAAAACGTATTCACAAAGTACGTTTTTATATTTTTTTATTTAGTAAACCGTATTTCGACTATATGTTTTATTGCAAAACTGATTTTAGGGCATAATTGGAGCAAATGAAAAACGTATTTACGAAATACGTTTTTGTTTTTAAAAAAAAAAAAAAACTATTTTCGTAAAAGTAAGTTATAATTTTTTTATTTATAAAACGCATTTATAAAATGCGTTTCTAAGCTTTTTAAATTTATTTTTGTATTCTATAATATAAAATTAATTTTATTAATAAACCGTATTTCAGAAATACTGTTTAATTAATTTAATATGTAAACGTATTTTTACAATATGTTTTATGTTTATTAAATTAAGTTAATCACGTTTTATATTAATTAACTTAATCACGTTACTAATTTTATTCACTATAAAACGTATTACGAGAATAGGTATTACTTAGAGAATACATTTTATGTTGTAAAATGTATACTCGTAATACGTGTTTTTTTAGTTTTGTCCACT